TTTTTTTGCGGCCGCTCATTAAGACACTCAACCTAAGCGGGTTTTATTAAAATCCACATGGGATCAAAAAGAAAAAAAGTTTGGCCCACCATCCGCCCACCAACCACCCGCCCTTAGGGGGTGACTTGAACTTATTCATTTTAGACCAAGTTCTATGAGCGAGCGTTAAGCAAGAAAATGTAATATAACCGCAGCGCATTCTGTTGACTAAAACCCCATGGAAAGCCACGAAGTGTAGTTAAAATATAGCATCTTGGTATCTTATTGGGCTGTGCAAACCGCTCCTCTGAAGAATTCATTCTATAGGGCAGAGCATGAGGTACTGAGGATGGAAGCGTGGGACCCCACCCTCATCCACCCTTAAAATCACGCAGAAAGTTAATTTCTTGACACAACGCTAAATCAGCGAGAGTTAACAAGGAAATATTTTAACCTGCAGCGCCATCTGTTGAACATTACAGCAACATCTGTTCAACAGATGGCGCTGCAGTGTTATTTCATATTTTCTTAACTCTCGCGGATTTAGTTTGGTCTCAAGGAATTAACTTTCTGCGTGACATCAAGAGCGGTCGTGGGTACAGTCCCATGCTTCGCCGTCTGTGGAATAATGTTCAGCAGATGGCGCTTTTTATTATTTCATATGAATACCATGGAAGTGGTCCCATGGTTCGCCGTCTGTGGAATAATGTTCAGCAGATGGCGCTTTTTATTATTTCATATGAATAATATGGAAGCGGTCCTATGCTTCGCCACCGGTGGAGTAATGATCAACAGATGGCTCTACTTTTTATTTCATATAAATATGAATACTATGGAAGCGTGGGACTTCACCCTCTCTTGTGGTCACGTAGAAAGTTAATTACTTGAAATTAAGCTAAATAATCGAAAGTTAACAAGAAAATATTTAAAACTGTAGCGCCAGCTGTTGAACATTACTCCACAAGTGAGTAACTTTCTGCGTCATTATAAGGGTGGGCGAGGGTGGAGCCCCCACGCTTCAATCCTCAGTACCTCCTGCCATACCCTACCCACAGTTATAAAATAACTAGCGCCATCTGTGGACTTAAACCTCATGGAAAGACACGAAGTGTAGTTAAAATATAGCATCTTAGTATCTTATTGGGCTGTGCAAACCGCTCCTCTGAAGAATTCATTTTACAGGGTAGGGCAGGAGGTACTGAGGATTGACGCGTGGAGTCGTGACCCTAAGAGACGGTGAGGGTGAAGTCCCACGCTTCCATAGTATTCATATTTATACGAAATAAAAAGTAGAGCCATCTGTTGAACATTACTCCACCGGTGGCGAAGCATAGGACCGCTTCCATATTATTCATATGAAATAATAAAAAGCGCCATCTGCTGAACATTATTCCACAGACGGCGAACCATGGGACCACTTCCATGGTATTCATATGAAATAATAAAAAGCGCCATCTGCTGAACATTA